AATTTGCTTTCAGTTCTAGAAGCGGTAAGCTCTGCACATCACAATATTTTGATACCCATTTACAAAAAGCAAACAAAATAGGATATGAAATTCATGTTCATTACAACACAAGATCCCACTTCTGAAATCAACAACTGTGGGCATCACTGCAAACTTTTCATTTTGCTAATACTGTTGGCTGTAGTTTCTAATGGTCTCTCTTAAACTTTGCAATATCATCTACTATAAAGAAACTTGTACCAAGTCAAACTCCTTAATGGAATGTTGCTATTCCACACCATTCAAACTGACACATCCTGATGTGTTAGATTTCAACTTCAAAAAGCCCTGGCCAGAATGGAAATTGAAGGTCCACATATCTGGATTACCTTGGACGGCGTCAAACTTTCACAGGTGAAAGACATTAGGTCTTACCCAACTGCAACAGCTTTCCTGTGTGTTTGAGAGAGTGGTCTTTCTCACCCTTATCTGGGTACACCTGGAACTGAAATTGTCTGCTAGAAAAATATTTACTCCTCCATGTGTTAACTGTAATTCTCTAGTACTTTTCAGTTATAATTAAAATGGGGGGGGGGAGATAATGATCACAGGTGTACAAAGAATCTGCTGAAAAAAATTGTCACAGTTAAAACAAGATGATTAAGAACACTTTGATGAATGTTATAGTTACCATACAATTGTTAGTAAATATTAAGTTAGTTACTAAACAACTAAAATTACCTTTTTTTGCTCCGGGTGGTGCTTCGTACATAAAATTTAGACCATTCTTGACACGTTCATCTCCCATAAGCAATCTTTATAAACATATAATAAAATTATGATATATCACAAGATATATACATTGATTCAAAATATATTTTAAAATAAAGGTAGCATGTTTCCACCATAAGAGGTAGCTCATTTTTTTACTAGTAGAAACTTTAAATATCTGAGTGCATAATAATAATTTTAGCTTAAGCAATAATTACTTTTTAAACCCTGGAGGTTCAGTTCCAAATGCATTCCTAGGCTTGACTTAACTTTTATTCCAAACATTTTAGATTGTCATGCACATTTCTAATGCACCAGTGGGGTTGAAAATATTTTTCAAAAAATTTTTTGTGTTGAATTTAGGTTTAGTTTGTCGCCCAAGTGACTGCCTCTGAAGGCTTCTGGACTGGGGCTGAAAGGTGAAAGTGAAAGGAGTATGCTCCGTCCCTTAATTGGGTAGACCATGTTGCCCTGATAGACCAGTCTCACCGGAAAAAAAAACATTTTTCAAAAAAGAATCCACATGTTGAATGCAATTTATAAAACACTGATATTCTCTGATCTTTCAGTCTGAGCAGCGCAGGTGATCTGAGACTAAATCCCAAGGAAGTGAGCCAAAGAAAGATTTGCAGACTGTAGAAAGTAGAAATTGCTTCATAGCACTGCTTCAATGACCCAGGACACATACACTCTGTTGTGCAACCTATTCTATGGAATAGCATCTACCATGGGATCTGGATGGCTCTCACCTTACTGGCCTTCCATAAAGCTTTAAAGACATAGCTTTTCCTTTCAGTTCTGGAGCTGGGATATCATATGAACCTAGCTAGGTTTTTGCCTATTGATTGCATGATGGAATGGATTGCTTTGGATCTTGGGTACATTATATCTGACTGTTGGCTATAATTATTTTCAATCATATTGTTATTTTGGAGTTTTTATTGTCTTTCAGAGTCCCATTTTTGAGCTGGATGGCCATATATATTGATTAGATAAATAACATCTTTTTCAGAAATGTTTATAGCAAATAATACATTTCAATCATGTATTGAAATGTTATAAAACAAGCATGTATAATAAAGGCAACAACTAATAGTCACAAAGTTAAAGGATTATACTTTGATTATAGATTATCACCCAAGTGTAAAATAATGAGCCACATCTCACCTGTTATCATAAGATTCTTGCTCTTTAAGATATTGCTGCATTAATTCTTCTTGTTTCTTTCTGTCATAAGATATTTTCTGTTCGGCCATCCATACCTAGTTAGAACAAATTGATTTTGTAAAAAAAAAAAATCCGTTCCTGAAAAAATTCCTCCTTTTTCTTTCTTGAATTTCATATTACATCCACACTGCTCTAAAATTCTGTAATTTTAACTATTACTAAAAAAAAATATCCAGGTGTTCTTGAAAGACTCCAGTAAGAAATGATGGGCCTTTTAACAGAAATATTTAATATAGAAGTTACCTTTCTTACTAGAAATTGAAAGGGAACTCCAGTTCATTATGCTCCATGGGACTATTATCACTATGATCCATGGAACATTTCATAATAGTTTGCCTCTTATGGATATTAACATCTCTGTAAAGGTGAAGAGACAATTTGACAGAAGCAAAACATATGTTCAATGACAACCTATACAATTGAGTCTCTATGGCACTCCTTTGCTTGAGGGTAAGAAAACACCCCTAAAGGTAGCTGAACCAATGGATTTGTTCATCAACTTCTTGGAAGAAAAAGACATTTGAAATGAAGCAAACTAATAACTGATCAAATAGGCAATTGGCACACTTAAAAAACCAGGAAGATGGGATTTTACAGATTCTGATAAACAAATCAATGGAAATAGCCTTGATATTAACATTGCCTCTATAAAATGATATCTATATTATTAATAATTAATAATTTATATTATTAGTAATCTACTTAAGCATGTAAATAATTGTGAACAGTTTGTGACTAAATGTGAAGTATTCTTTTTACAATACAGGTAAATTACAGGAGAAACTTCTATGATCAGAAAGCTCACCAGGAATGGTCTAATACCTTTCGCTGTTTTGGTTGATGGACAAGACCCCTCTCCTTTTTTCACTGGAAATTTGACTTTGGAAGTTCCATGCTATATCAACATCTGCTGACTGCTTATTTGAGAACAAAAAACACAACTTCACTGAGTTCAGTGAGGCTCATTTCCAGATAAGGATTGTTGCCTAAAAAGCTGCATTAATATAAATACTGAATAACAAACCTGGCAATTATACTTAGTTTATGGCTTAGTTGTTGTTTTTTGTTTTGTGCCTTTGGGTTAGTTTTTACTCCTGGGAACTGAATGGACTACAGTCCCTGTGGTATTTTGGCAGTGTTTTCTGAAATGATTTTCAACTCCCTGCTTCTTAGGAATGAGTATGTGTGACTGGGCCAAAGTCACGGTCCCCAGTTTCTAGCCTAATGACTTAACTACTACACCAAACTGGCACTACACTATTCACAAAGTGTGATATACATCCAGGAAAATGGATTGATACATCATATATAGTGAGAAGACAGCCTAAGCATCAGTCTACATTATATTTTGGAGATATCTTTGTGGATAGCACACCTACACCTTAAAACACAAGTTACCTGACTTCAGGACAGTTATTTACAATCTTTGAACAACAGTATATGTATATTCTGTACATTTTAAAATTTATTTTACTTTATTTATAAACAACGCAAAGCAACAAACTTATCTAATGCTCTTTTATCCTCTTATTGTCCCCAAAACAGAAATACTTTGAAGTGGGCTGGGCTAAGAAAGAGCAATTGGCCCAAAGTCACTAGCTTTCATGCCTAAAAAGAGAACTAGAACTCCCAGTCTCCCAGTTTCTATTTCGATGCCCTTGTCACCTAGACAAAACTGGCTCTATGCCAGGGATAGCCAACCTGATATACTTCAAGTGATTTTTGACTTCAATTCTCCTCAGTTCATGCCAGCATGGTTGGTAAGGATCTGTGGGAGTGGTATTTCAAAGTATCTGGAAGATTTCCTGATTCTGCTTTAATGGATGATGTTTGGGGATCCATTTGATAGTTGCTCTTCCTAAACTTTTCCATTGCTAATTCCTCCATCCCACTTTATTTCTGCCCCATCTTTATTCTTAAGCACATAAACCAACAGGAGTTATAGCTGTCAATCTAGAGTCTAGCAGCGGGCACCTGCTTTAAATTCAATAGGACATGCTATGGAAAAGAAGTGCCTAAACCTGGGATACAAAACAAGACATTATTATAGTATAAATGTCCTCCACTCTTTCTATGTGAAAAGGGGATTCATAATGGAAGCAGCTAATTCTGGTCCCTATCAGAGCAATTATCTCCAAGCAGAACAAACCAGAGGAAGCAGAAGAGGGGATAAATTGGCAATATGCTGGATTTATTTATTTAATTTGGAGGACAGGAGGGATTTTGTTTTGCACCCAGGATATATATTCAGATGAAAAATCTTTTTTCCCCCCCAGGGAGGAAAGAAAACACCACATGGAGAACTTCTGAAAGTTCCTTTAAACTGACTAATCAGTACAGGTAGTCCTCAACTTACAACCACAATTGAGCCCAAAATGTCCTTTGTCAAGCGAGTAGTGAGACTTGTTAACTGAGTTTTGCCCCACTTTACGACTTTTCTTGCCACAGCTGTTAAGGGAATCCCTGCAGTGCTTAAGTTGATAACCTGGTTAAGTGAATCCAGCTTCCCCACTGACTTTGCTCATCAGAAGGTGTTCACACGATTCCAGACACGCAACCTTTATAAATATGAATCAGTGGCCAAGCATCCAGATTTTGGTCGTGTGATCATGGAACGGTCCTACGTGTGAAAACCTTTTTTTTCCCCCAGTGACTTTGTAACTTCCAACGGCCACCAAACGAACTGCTGTAAGTCGAGGACTACCTGTGTACATAAACATCTCCGATTCAGGGAGAGGCGCTTCTCTCCGGCTCTCCTGCGGGAAATGGCCGCTCACCTTTTTAATATTGGACTTGGAGGCGGGGTGAAAGTCCTTTTTGCACATGAAGTTGGCGAATGACTTCCCCATGGTGGCGAGGAGGCGGCCACCGCCGCCGCGGGGTTGGAGAAAGAGAAAACGGCGGCCCTTTTTACGTTGCGACGGTGCTTGTTGGCTTCCTCCGCCCCGCTTCTGTTTACTTCACCCGGGCCAATTCCGGCTTTGACCCGGCGCTTCCGGGGCGAGATCGGCAGCAGCGGCGACGTTTTCTGCAAGCCGGAGGAGGCCGGGAAGTAGCCCTGCGGCCCGGCTAGCAGGATTGGACGCCGACTGAGAGGGCGGAAAAAGCATCAGCGCGGCGCCTGCTCCGCGCAAGGCAAAGGCGGGGACGCCAGGCCGACTTGTGGATCTGACGTAAGGCTTTGCGTGGCTCTGCCAGTTTCCCCATTATAAAGTAAGAACCCCAGGGGAAAAAATAAATAAACGCCTGCCCGACCTGAAATAGAAATAGCAGTGAGCAGATTTGCAACAGAAAACACATTTGAGCCATTTGACGCCAAGTGGACTCAGCAGGAAAAAAAAGAAATCGCTTGCTAGCTTGGTGTGACCTGTTGTTGCCTGTTGTTGCTTTGGCATTTTGCAAATCTTAGCAAAGTTTTAAAACTACAACTTGTGCGCCTTCGGGTTTGTTCCGGCTTTGGCTCTGGGGGAAGGTCTGGGTGGCTTTAGCTCTGTCGCGCAAACTAGCAGGGTCTGGTTTACACATGTAAAGCCACAAAACCGGGCTCGGCAAGCCAGTATGGTTAAGCGGGGAACCGATGCCCGGGTGGCGTGAACATGGAGATAAGAGCCATATATTATAGCTTTTTGTCTCCGTGTTAAGGTTCACGCTATCCGGGCATCGGTTCCCCCTTAACAAATCTAGAGCCTCAGCCTAGTGAGTAAGTGGTGGAGTTGCTGTTTGGAAAATAAATCTTTCCCCCTTGATCTTCCACCAGCCCAGTTCTGAAAAGCATCCAGATTGGGAAAAGCTACCTCCTTGCTATGTTTGGGCTAACTTGTGCTAGTGGAGAATCTGGATGGAGTTGCCTATTCTGTCTTTCTGACAACCCTTGATTTAGCCCGACAGCGTTTCCCTTCCTTCCTTCCCCCTTCTGGTTTCTTATGTGCAGTGCAGTTCTCACTTGATAAGCTCCTCCTGTCTACTCCATTAAAAAACAGTCCTACCTGTTTTGTATACAAGGTAGGAAACATAAAACTTCCTTGGATGTCCAATCACACTTGGCCAATAAAGAATTATATTCTATAACAATACTCCCTCGTCCTATTTCCCCCACAACAACAAAGCTGCAAGATGAGTTAGGCTGAAAAAAAGTGACTGGCCCAAAGTCAGTCAGTCAGTTGGTTTTTCATGCCCAAGGAAGGACTAGAACTCACAGTCTGCTGGTTTCTAAGTCAGCATCTCAAACTGGCTTTCATATATAGTACTTACTTATTCATTTACATGTCTGGCATCTGATCTAAAAAAAAAAAAGCTGGATTCATGCAGCCTATTTTGTAATTGGTTGGATGGTGGATGTTTTTAAAAGATATAAATTTCTCCAGGTCTCTAGGTCATTATTTGTGGGAATGCTGGTTGGGAATTCTGGGAATCAAAATCTACATACCTTAAAAGCTGTTGAAAGTTGAGAAACACTGATCTAGTCACACATAGCTCTGCTCAATAATTTATTTTAGTCCATGTATAAGAGAATTTTTACAGGGGCATGTGTGACCTTTGGCAATGTCTTATATTTTTCCTAAAGTATTTGTTAATAAAATATCAATATCTATTAGAATACAATAGTGGTTCTTCCGTTATAGAACATTCAGAGAGATATGATTGTTTATTATTTTTTCAGGATGGCTAACAGTATTGCCGAACCCTTTTCCTGTGATACTTTTGTGGCTCTGCCTCCAGCCACACTAGGTGGACGAATCATTTTTGGAAAAAATTCTGATAGGCCTTCTGATGAAGTCCAGGAGATTGTGTTTTTTCCTGCTGCTGATCATGATCCAGGTCAAAAAGTTGAGGTAAGAGCAATATTTCTAAAAATAGCAGAAAAACCTGTTAGGAAGTTTTATGATATTTTTATTTTAAATCTAAACTTAAAAGATAAAATAAACACATTTATATCCAAAATTGTGTAATTGTATAGCTTGCCTGCATAGGTATCTACATGGAATTGGAATGATGAAATGTGCATTGCAGTTTTTAATGCAAACGACCCATAAACTTGCAGTCAAATCTAGATATAAGTACAAAAGAGAGAGAAAGTGAGAGATTTATTTTGTGATGACACAATATATCTTATATCATTTTTGCCTCATTGCAGTTCTAGTAGACACCTTTTCTGGATTGAAATTGTAAACCAAGAATGGAAATTGCCCAGCCATCAAAATCTGGCTTATTCCAAGTCTGATCATTGGAGAATACAAATTAGCTGTCAGGTTTTGGCTCAAGGTTGAATTAACATTCATGTGATTTGTCTGATTTTGGGTTTTGTGTATTCTGCACACTCAGCCCTTACAATGCATAAACTGTGGTTTATGATTTAATTCATTATTTAATCCAAGCCAATTGTAATCCAAATCATGATTAAGCAAACAATGGCTTAGCACAATGTGTATGATTCTAGTTACTATTATTTGCATCAAATGGTAATAGTTCTCCATAATTCCAGGCATCATTCTTTCCTAGTTCTGTGGTATTTTAAGAACTTTTGCAAGCAAATACATTATTTAATCCTTTTCATCAATATTTAATTTGGTATAGAGGGTCAGAAAATCTAAATTTGAATGGTTTTTCTCTTTATCTTGCACAATGAAAGAGACAACTCAAGGTCATGCCAACAAAATATATTCTCTATCTTAGAATATTTAGAATACATTTTAGGATATAGGCTGGTAAAACAAGGACCCAGATTGTTGATGGTAATATGTTAACATTGTAAACTGCTTAGGGCTGTAAAGCACTATGAAGTGGTATATAACTTTAAGTGCTATTGCTATAGCCACTTATCCTAAATTTAAAGGTAAAATATTGCATGGAGATAGTTCTGTTGAATTTAGATATAGTTTTCATAAGAAAAATCATTTTAAAAGCAGGGTTTGAGCCCATCAGTTGCTACATTGAGACAATACACACAGATTTGTGTGGGCACTCACTCAGATTTTTGCTCTTGTTGCCTTCCACTGGAACTCTAAATTCCAGGACCTCATTTTGTTCAAAAGAATCTCATAATTCCAGTGAGAGGTTTGAAGGCCCCACAGCACTATGATAAAAGCTCAGGGAAGTACTGAATCTGTTATATGTAATTTAAAAATAATCTGTAAAATATCTTTGAAATTATCATTATTGCAGTGTACTTATATAGAAATTGAACAAGTACCCAAAACCTATGCAGTTGTCCTGAGCCGTCCATCCTGGCTATGGGGTGCTGAAATGGGAGCCAATGAATGTGGAGTCTGCATTGGGAATGAAGCCGTATGGGGAAAAGAAGAAGTCTGCGATGATGAAGCTCTCCTTGGCATGGACCTTGTCAGGTTGTTATTAAGTCTGTTGGATAAGATATGAAACCAAGTGGAAACTAATCGGTTGTTTTATACTTGCAGAGCTTTGTCAAACAGCCGTCTCTGGAAAATACTGTATGAAATGGAAAATAAACAACTCTGATATTTGATCTGGAGCAGGGGTGTCAAACTCGATTTCATTGTGAGCCACATCAGGGTTGTGATTGACCTCGGGAGGGGGGGAATGGGGGCATGGCCAGGGTAGGCCTGGCCAGCTTGATGTCACTTGTGTTGGCCCAAGCGCTCTGCCAGTGAAAAGGAGCTCCGTTTTCACTGGCAGAGGGTTGCAGGAGGCTGGCAGCAGGTGAAAATGGAGCTCAGGAGGGATGTGTACGGCCCTCTTGAGTTCCGTTTTTTGCTAGCAGAGGCACCGTGGGCCGGCCTTTCGTTGTTTCCAGGGCGGCCTCATGGGCCAGATCTAAGCATCCCACAGGCCAGATCCGGGCTGCGGGCCTTGAGTTTGACACCTCTGATATGGAGAGTTTATGCTTAAATGGGGGCTTAATGCAGAACGATGCTGCTAAAATAAAAAACTGAAACATAAGCTTTTGAAGGAATTAATTTAGCCTGGTTCAAAAACTATGAAAGGTACAAAATACTACAGGCAGTTACTGAGCCACAACCCTTCGTTTAATGACCGCTTGAAGCTGTGACAGTGCTGAAAAAAGTGACTTGCAACCATTTCTCACATTTGCAACCTTCAAAGGGTCTCATAGTCACATGATCAAAATTAAGGCACTTAGCAATCAGAATGTATTTCTGCAGTTGCAGCATCCTGAGGTCACATGATCAACATTTGTTACTTTCCTAGGTACTTCTGGCAAGCAAAGTCAATGGGGGAAGTTGGATTTACTTAATAGTCGCAGTGATTTGCTTAACAACTACAACAAAAAAGGTGGAAAAATCAGCCATGATTCACTTAATGGCTACATCACTTAGCAACAGAAGTTCCACTCTTACGTGTGGTCCTAAGTCAAGGATTACTTGTAGTTCATAAAATCTGATTTTCCTACGGACAGCCTATCAGTTTGAGGATGTCCATAGGAGAGTTTTGCATGCACAAACAGACAAATGGCACCTGTGTCATTGCAGTTTTGTAGTTACTAGAATGTTGTGTAGATGCGAGTGATCGTTTTCATCCCAAAAACTTTTGTTTTAAGGTTCTCAACATGAGCCCAGATGAAGAAATAAATGAGCCTGTTCAAATTCTGTCTTTTAAAGTTGAAGATGAAGAATGTTACAGAAAGCTAAACGCTTTGATTTGATTTTAGGCTTGGACTTGAAAGAGCAGATACTGCAGAAAAAGCTGTTGATATTATCGTTGAATTGTTGGACAAGTATAATCAAGGTGGAAACTGTATGGAGAGTGAAATGACATTTACCTACCATAACAGCTTTTTGATAGCAGACAGAAAAGAAGCTTGGATTCTGGAAACATCTGGAAAGTTCTGGGCTGCAGAGAAAGTAAAAGGTATGAATAATAACCTTTATTCAATTTTAAGACGTCTCAGTGGACAATGTCTGTCTTTCATATTTATCAATCATCTGTCTACCTATCATCTAATCTATCATCTCTCTGTCTCTCTCTATTCAGCAGAGCTATACTGGTAAAAATGATGTCACTGATGCTATTACAGTTTTTACAGAAAGCCTGTTACAATCTGTGGATTCTTTGCCAGCTGAACCTTTAAAAGTAAAAAGCAGCTATAATCCTCATTTAAGCCTGAAAGGCTTTTGGGGCAACTTACAACCCTCTCTTCAGATTTCTCCAGCACTGAGGAAAAAGAGAATGGGTGGGGAAAGGAAAGCATTTTAGAAATGATTCTTCCTACAGACATACTCCAACATGCTTCATCCTCGTCTGTTAAAAAAAATTAAATTGGTGAACAGTTATAATGAAACATCTTAGCATCATATTAAAAACTGGCATACATTTCAGTTGCCAAGACCTGGCTGCTTTCTTCCTGCCATGTGCTTTATTTCTCTTTTCCAGTCACAGTATTGAGTTAGTGCTAATGCTTAAATTGATACTTCTTGGTTATTTACAGTTTTAGCTGTGAGGAAAAGTCTAGTTTATAATTGGCCCAATGTGTTTATTACTGCCAAATATAATTATTGCAAATGAGGAAGGAGTGAGTCAAGAAGTGGTCAACATTCATATTGTGAGATTTAGTTTCTTTCCAAATTTCTAACAGTAAATATAGACATCTCAGTTTAATAATTTTTAAGTAGGTCAGTTCAGGGCAGAAACATTTAGAATGGTAATAGCTTGTTTTCTTCTCCTTTTTAAACAGAAGGAACACGGAATATTTCCAACCAGCTATCAATCACAACAAAAATTGACCGTGAACATCCAGAGCTAAGGAATTATGCTCTAAGCAAAGGCTGGTGGGATGGTAAAGAAGTATTTGATTTTGCTGCCATGTACTCATATCTAAATACTGCCAGAATGACAACTGCAAGTGGCAGATATTGTGAAGGCTATAAACTACTGAAGAAATATGCAGGTAACTTTAAGTTATAGAAGACCTTATAGTTCGTTTTCATAGTTGGATTTGGATGTACTGTTTTATGAGATTCAAAATATTATTTTTTTACCTGAAAAAAACAGGATAAATATCTATCGTAATTATATTTGTTTTCCTTGGTTTTGCTTTGCACAAGAGATCTGCATACTGCCTTTCTAATTAAAGATGCATACGTCAAACTCTGTAACTTTTTGGAATAATCCTGAACAAATACTGTAGCTGACTATTTATTTTAAAGGTTTAAAGCATTAAGGTTGATTCTGATGTATATATTAAGAATACCTTGACATCTTCTTTTGGTCTTGAGGAAAATGTCTCTCATGACTCTGGTTACGGTGATTTCTAATTTGAGTGAACTACTGTTTCGAATAAAGGGTAATATACATGTCCCGGGATAAGGTTCCAATCTGAGTCGGTCACTGGCACCAGAGGTTTAGTCTTCCGAGCTTTTGGATTCGTGCTGGAGCCCATTCTCAGGGAACTTTAGAAGTAGAAGTTCTCTGAAGAAGGGTTCCAGCATGAGTCCAAAAACTCAGATGATTAAACCTCTGGTCCCAGTGATGACCCAGACTGAATCCCAAAATACTGTTTTTAAGCCTCTTTTCTGAGGTTCTGCCATGGTTTTATGTATTGGATAACTTGGATCATCTACATCAGGGGTGTCCAACCTTGACAACTTTAAGACTTGTGGACTTCAACTCGCAGAATTCCTCAGCCAGCTTTGCTATATATAAAAGATATAATAGATATAAAAGATATAATAACAGTAATACACTTACATTAATAAGCTATTGCAATGGGGTCCAGCAGGTCCTACAAGGACTGCCATTAATCAAAGGGCCCCGAGCTGATCTCCAACCCTGTCCTTTATATTTTTCTTCTAACCACATACACGCTTCACAACTTCACTAACTGTCACTTTCCTTAAACACCTGTGTACATTTCAGTTCCTCATTTCCAACAGTTTCACTCTTCCTGTTTTAAACGTATCCATACAAGTGCATATTTTGCAAAAACATGTTTCACAGTCAGCAATGGCTCAGCAGGACTACAAATAGTTATGGTATATTTTGAAGCCATCCTAGATAAAAACTGTGGTTCATCTCTCTTCTGGGGCCTGCTATCATCCATAGGACTTATTGAATCTAATAGATCAATAAGCTATATTTTTGATTCCCACACCATTTATCATTTGTCTATGCAAGGCGTTCCAATGCTTTCTAGATATAGAATATAGTATACACTGAGTTGGCAACTTAAACCCTTTAGCAATTTTTAAGTTTTTCTATCTCTCTTTTCTACCTGTCTCTCTTTCCCCATACCTATTTTCTGCCCCACCTCTTTTCCACTGTTTATATTATTTAGAACACAATTTCGTTGTTTATCCAAAAATAGCCTGCCAGAAACACACTGTTCTTTCCAATCTGATCTCTTCATGTGCTAAGGTTGCCCATCACCAGATTCTCAGACAGTGTAATCAATGGCCCTGCTGCCCAGGGATTCTGGAGCTGCAGTGTTAACCACGCATTTGGAGGAAGACGGTGGCACAGTGGTTAGAGTGTGGTACTGCAGGCTACTTCTGCCGACTGCCTGCAATTTGGCATTTCAAATCTCACCAGGCTCACTCAGCCTTCCATCCTTCCAAGGTTGATAAAATGAGGACCCAGATTATTGCTGACTCTGTAAACTGCTTAGAGAGAGCTGTAAAGCACTGTGAAGCGGTATATAAGTCCAAGTGCTATTGCTATATACCACTTTGAAATATTTCTTCTTTTAGGCTTTGTTAGTTTCTCCCTTGCTATTATCAGCTTTAACAATACAAATCAGAATTATTTCTAAAGGCATGAGTGCTTTGAAAAAAAAAAAAGACAAATTCTATTGCACCCTTCTGTTTCAATATTCATTTTACTGTGTCGTGCCGTTCTCAATTGCAGTAGTTATTTTGGGCTTCCTAGTGGATTCCTTCCCTGTATGATTGTCCTGTAATCATGCAAATTTCATTCATTTGCAGAATAGCAGGTTCTTAATGCTGAACATCTTTTTAATACTTGTTTAAGGTTATGGATGTTTTGGAGTTCTATTAGTGTATTTCTTTTAAATCCATATTTTTCGGGTACTTACCTGAATCATTTTTAAGTTGCACCAGGTGTTCAAGTGAACAGTCAATGCAGTTTAAAAAAAAAAACCTTAGTTGAGAGAGAATCATTGCTATAAACCTTCTCTAAAGAGTTTACTTTCATTTAATTAAGAGGAAATCTAAAATTTATATAAAGGAATCGTTTTAAATACTGCAATTGCTATTTTAAAATGGTTATGGAATGTTCTGAATTTACAGGAAGACAAGCTGAAAATCTAAATTGGAAAAGGGACTGTTACCATGCAAGGAAAGTATTTTTTAAAAAGATTTACAAATGCCTGAGGTCAGAGATTTGGCTGATTATTTCAAGGCAGTGTCTAATCTCCAGCCTGCACCCAACTCTTAATCATGTACATATACCTTCACTGCTTCTTCTTTCTCCCAACCTCTCTACTCTTCTTTCTTGCCTTCTGCTTCATCTCTCACATTCGTGGAATATTCTTTCCCCACCTTGCTCTCTTACATTTTCCTGTTTTGCTCTACTTCCTTTTTCCCGTGGGATTTTTTTTTGTTATCTTCTTCTCTGCATAACCCTAACCAGAATCCCATCTGACTTCTGTTCTCTCCAAGAGAGATTGCAGGTGTAGTCCAAGAATTTTTTTTCCCTGTTAGAAGTGGAGCCATATACCTCTCAATTGAGAAAAAGATACCAAGCAAATTAATTTATTTAGAGGTACTCCTTGCCCTATCACTTCACAGTACTGGTACTCAGGCTAGCTCCCAACAATAAACCACAATTAAAATAGCCTTAGAAAGTTTCTAAAACTAAACAATAGTAATAGTAATAGCATATCCAAAGTCCCTGGGAAGAACTTGTTAGGGCTAGGCAGACAAAAATGCCAAATCCAGTCTGAACATCTTTCAGCTGTGTGATGAACAATAACAAATATAGCGGGGCCACAAAAATTCTAGGGATTGCCAGAGTAAACAGGTATGTCTTTAGCAGCTGTTTTAAAATCTAAAGTTGTAAAGAAAAAATGATGTTACAGTGTTGCCGTTTCTTTTAAATATATCAATTGCTTTATTCCTGCTTTTTAGCAATTTTGGATCGATATTAAATGGCTGGTATACAGTATAAACAGTATTAAACAAATAACCTATCTTAACTAGGTAATATAACAGCTGAGACAATGATGACAATTCTTCGAGATAAAGAGAGTGGTCTTAACATGGAAGGTGCCTTCATGACCACAGGAAGCATGGTTTCTATACTTCCCCAAGATCCTAGTCTCCCTTGCATTCATTTCTTCACTGGAACGCCAGATCCTGACAGGTAACGCAAATAAAATGGGTCATGAGAACAAAATCTTAACCATTTCCTTATTTTTGTCATTTTAAATAAAAGGCTTGAAACCTTTTCGGAAGTATTAAATATGACCCAGTGTAAGAAAAGATCAATAGCAGCTTTAGTAAAATACAAGACTAAAGAATCTGATAAAATTTCTGATTCATCTGAAGCCAATTCTGCAACAGGAAAGGTATTTAATGCTTCAGTGTCTATGGAAATTCTCAGTCATCCAGATCATGGTTGTCCCAAAGGTGCTTTTTCAAGAGGCAGCTGGACTTTCTGTTTTTTTTCTTTGAAGTTGTTCTGCTTCTCATCCAAGAAGCTTCTTCTACTATTGAGCTGAGGAAGCTTCTTGGTTGAGAAGCGAAACATCTTCAAATAATAACAAGAAGATCTAGTTGCCTCTTGAAAAAGCATCTTTGGGATAATGCTTCAGTGGTTTTTGGGCGGAAGCATTAATTGTTGTTCTTTTAAAGTACACTAGGAATCTGATCTGCTGGGAAGCCATCTTCTTGGTTCCAGAAACTTTTCTACCTAACCAACTAGATTGTGACTGATATGAGAACTGATATGAAAAGTTAGGTTCTCCTGGAATTTATGCTGAGTGAACATAACACTGGGATGTGAAAGTAGCAACTAATTTTGCATATTTGCTTATTTTCATTTTATCTTGTAGGTCTGTTTTTAAACCTTTCATTTTTGTGGAAAATATTACCCAGCTTCTAAAAACCAGTTCTCCGGTATTTGGCCCAGAGGATCCAGTTAAAAAGCAGCCACGATTTCATACGAAGCCTGACAGAAGACACGAGCTCTATCGAATGCATGAACGGGCAGTTGCCACGATGGAAGCATCAAAGGTGGGTTGGTCTTGGAATTGCAAAATGCGATTTAATTTTGAAATTCAAAGTAAAAACGTCTAGAACCTGTGGTGTTTGTATAAGCTGATGTGCCTTGAAAAAATTGTTCTCGCATATCAATTTTCAGTCATAGGTTTAACATGAATTTATGAAATTCACAGGTTTTATGCATTCTCAGTAAATCCCCCCCCCAACTCTTCATAACTATACTTTTAACAGCCCTGTATTAAATACGATGTGGGGGCTCAAACCATTTATTTTCAGAATTACTATTGAACTCTTGGTAAGAAATCAGGAGGAGTCTGGTTAGCATCTTTTCTGACTAATATTTCGTTATTCAAGGCATCAGATTTCATTAGCTGCAGCTCACTTTATCACATGCCTTTTGTCCTCACAATTTTCTTCCTTTCACATTCAAACTCTCCTTCCTTTTGTTAACTTCTGGGTTGTGGTTTTAACTATTTCCTCTTTGGCTTATGTTTTTTTTTTCATTTTTTAACGTTATACAGTTAAATTGTTGTTCTGGATTAAATAGATTTTTGTTCCCTGAAGCTCATTTCAAAGAAACAGTTATGTCCTCTTCCTTTCTAATTCTCCTGTGAAGAAATCTTGCTAGACAGAACTAAAAAGGAAACAGTTTCCCTTTTGGCTCAATATAAGGAATAGAGAGGAAAAACACAGGAATAATTAATCCTCCTTTAATATTGGCTCTTCACATACCTGTTTTCTGTGAGAAGGAATTCCTTTCTAAAGATTTGCTTTTTTCCTCCATATTTCAGAATATTTTCTTTCTATTTTTATTTATTTGTTTGTCAAGCATGTATGAGAAAAGAAGTATAAGTATGAACATAACATATAAACATATAAGTATAAACAGGTATAAATATATACATAATGAGTACGAATGAATGGATAAATGGGAACAGTAGGACAGGGACGGTAGGCACGCTGGTGTGCTTATGCAAACCCCCTTACAGACCTCTTAGGAATGGAGTTAGGTTCACAGTAGACAGTTTAAAGTTTTGGGCAGGTTGATGTAACAACAGAGTCAGGTAGTGAGTTCCAGGAATCTCTTTAAATATTTCTCCCTGCAGACCTTGTCTAGATGCTTCCAGCCACTCCTCTAAACTTAGATGGGATGTTTCAAGCCCTTCCTCTTGGAGATGATTTAAGGCTATAGCAATAGCAATTGCTCTGAGCAGTTTACAGAGACAGCATATTGCCCCCAACAATCTGGGTCCTCATTTTACCGACCTCAGAAGGATAAAAGGCTAGTCAACCTTGAGCCGGTGAAAATCGAACTGCTGGCAGTCAGCAGTCACCAGAAGTAGCCTGCAATACTGCATTCTAACCACTGTGCCACCATGGCTCTATATCCACCCACTTATTCACATATTGGATTCTTACAGGACATCTGTTCTGAACATTTTGTGTGGGTTTCTGGAGCCATTCCTCCAGATTGTATCTGGCTTCATTCAAGGATTCTTGGCTGAGTCTTTTCAGAGACCTTTGTAGCCATGTTTGCGCCCCTGTTCTGGATGCAGTAGGACCAAGCTCTCTGGAACTTGCTAAAGATGCTTAAAGTCATTTATCCTTAAGCTTCTTTCAAAGCCACCAGGTTCTATCCAAATCACTCTCTCCCTACTCTTTAGCATGCTTATTTCTGATGCTTTGGAATATTGTCCTTAATAGATGTTTCAAGCCATGTTTGAGTACCTAGATGGGGTGCTTCAGATCTCTTCCTTTTCAAGGTACTACCACAGTCATTTAGAAAGCACCAAAGCACTTCCACATTGAAAGCTGGTGACATTCATCATTGCTCAGAGGATGACCAGTTGGGGGCTCCTTTCATATCCCCATTAAGCTGCCCACCCAATTGGTACCAATCTGAATGCACTCATTTGAACTGCTGGTCAACAGGAGAATGAGGGGAGTTCACCCTGTCCCACAGCAGGAACCGGTCTTCAATCAGCATCTTAGCATCCTAACCACATGAGCCACTGCGCTCCTTCTCTTCAAGATTGTTTACCTTGAAGCGATTATTATATATTTTCCACAGGTCCTTGAGAACATCGATTCTTGAGTTGCTCTGTTTATTTTTCAAGATAACCATTACTTAAGAGTATATCAAAACTCTAGAATTCTGTAGAACCTGAATGCCTTTCATACATGCTTTAAGCCATTCCTGAATACCTAGATCAGCAGTTTAGGTCTTTCCCCTTTTGAGTTTTTTTCTAAAAATTTTCAAGCCGTTTTTGAAGCCTTATTTTGAAGTCTTGTTGAGGTTCAGGACCTTCCTTGTCCAGGTTTTTCAATGAATCTTAAAGCCATTTTTCCAGAACTGGTTTAGGTTCAGTATAAGATGAGAGGCTTTCTAAGATCCTTGAAGTAAATGTAATGCCGCAGGCAATGAAGGTGGTGGAAAAGGCAATTGCTGAGCTAAACTTTGCATCTGCTGGAGTATCTGATGCATATTAGCTGCTAAATTCCACACCTCGATTTCCAAACTTGTCTTGGTGGCTGCAGATGGTGTCCATCCAATTCAGTCTGCTGTCAGTCCAGTTATGGATCCGTTGCCATGCTGTGGCTTTGTTCTATTCTGTGAAATGTTGGGGGAATAGTTCAGGTTAATGTCAGGTGCAAGAAATCAGAAACCAGGATAGTGTTCAAAAGTACGAGTTTATTTCACGCTACCTATACACAAGAATCTGATCTATTAACAGTCAAGGCAAATTGGCACTAGGTAAAATGGAATTAAGCAGAGATTGATGTTCTTGGGGTGCCTAAAGGAGCCGGGATTATTCCATCCTTTCATTTTTAAGTAGAATTTGCACAAGAGATAAACCGCTAAAATCATGTAAATTCTCCATTAGGAACTTGGCCAATTAAATATGTTAAATCAATATTTATAATGACTTAAGATAGGTCGGTAAATTTAAAGCAGACACAATCAATACAAAATAATTTCTAGAGGGAAAGTTTTGGATGCAGTGTATGAGAAATGTTCTCACTTTGTTCCCAAATGCCAAACCGTGAAGGTAGTCCAACAAGCTGAGGCAATACTTTGTGACGTTGTATGACATCTCAACTGTATTAATAAAATTTGCAATAATGATGAGAGGCTTCATATAAAAAATAATTCCCAGTGGCCCCCCCCCCCAAGTTTTATCAGAAGAGACTTCTTAGTATTCTACATTCATCCTACAATTTATCTGCCTTTAAGATAGCGATTGGCAACCAGTGTTTTATGGACATCTGCCAAGGTATCTTCCACCTGATTGGAATACCCAAAATCAATACTGAAAGCAAAAATATAATATAAACCTAATGAGCTACAAAGCAGAATGCCAGTCTCTTGTCATCTTTATTTCCATGAATGCTTCTATGGCCTAGAGAAGCAGACTATGTGTGATGACTTCACGGCGCTTTATCTAGAAATGAGATTCTTGCTGTCCTCCCTCCTTCCTGCCAAGAAGGCAAAGGACCAATAGGAGAAGACATTCTGAGCATCACATCACAATTGGATCTCTACTGTTGTCTTTAAGAACTGAAGAAGCTTCTTGGATGAGAAGTGAAACATCTTCAAGGAAAAACAAAAGAAAGTCCAGTTGCTTTTTGAAAAAGTACCTTTGAGATCTCCGCTGTTGTTAAACTTATTTTTAAATATCTAGGAGACATGTGACCCATTGACTCATCCTTTCAGAACTTTTTTCCTTACCAGGATCCTCCGCATCTTCAACAAGGACGAAGCTCCCCATGTGATGCCTTGAAAAGCTGGGCCTACACTCAGATAAGCCCGTTAGGTGATACTACAGTATATAGCACAGTAAAATGACAGACAGGAAATGATTAATTACATTTTGTATTATGTCATAATCTATCACCTACCTGTGGATAGATGCTAGATATGCACCTCCATATACCCCAGAACAGCTGTGTAGCTTTGAATCCAAAGGATTGTAAGCTACAAAAAAAATAGACCCTGAGAAACTCAGATGTCTCAAAGTCTGTTGAATAAAGAAGGAAAAAAAGAAGTGGCGAAAGATTCAGGGAAGGCCTCAAATCTTCCAATGAGAACAGAGCATACAGAATGTTCTTAACCTGCTAAATAACACAGAGAGGAAGAGAGAGCAGGAGAGGAAGGCGGCGATAAAAAGTCAAGCAAGCAGCTATTTATCTCAGATTGGTTGGAGTTTGAGCAGGAGCTTGTTAAGGGATTCATAATTTATTTGAAGATTCAGCATTTGTTGCAAACCTCTCCCTATATGAAATCTTTTTCTTTTCCATTATGTTGCTGGTTTAAAACGTTTAATTTATATCTCACTTTTCTTTCAGGAGCTCTTAACAATGTATACCGTGCTTTTTCCCCTTTCACTATAATTTTCTATTGTTAACTTGCTCAGAGTTACTTAAATGAGATGGGTGGTGTAGAAATGTGGTGAATACATCAATAAAGTAAACAATTCAGTGAAGTTTTTCTGGCTGCAAGTGACAAAGGTCAGCATGTGAGTTTTTATGGCTGAAGATGAACTGTAATTTGGGATGCTACATAATCTAACATTCTAACCACTAGATCACACCGGCTCTCATTTAAGATTAATTGTAGCAAGCATTTGCTATGCACAAGGTTTATATTTGATTCTATTTTCAAGTATGTTTTTTAGGAAAAGGCTGCACTGATCATGGAACAGATCCAAAAACTGGAGAAAGCAAAGATTGATGACATGGACCGTATTCTCCAGAATGGGTACCTGAATGTTGATCAAGCAGTTAATCTTTTTTCAGATTGTGTTGAAGAAGAAATACATATATATGCATGACAAAATATCTGCAGTTGTTTCCTTTTATTAATCCAAGTGTTGTTTTCCAAAACAGATTTATTCACTGTACAATGCTGCTTCTGGCCAAATAGCATTTATTATGTGTACACTAGCTGGAAGATAAAATACTGGCCTTAGTTTTAATAGAATATAATTGCTAATTTTAAATGTGACATGCAGCTATCCAAAGTTTAAAACACCTACAAAATTACTGTTTTTTTGTTTACTTTGCATATATTTTCAGCCTGCATTTGTTTCATACACTTAATGGCCAAGTGTTGTACACATTTAATATGCAGAGTTAATAACATTAATTTATATGTTGTCCACCTCCCACCAACTTCAACATCTAGTTGGACAAAAAGCAAAATGAAGCAAATAAGTGAAATAATTAATTCTGGAATTAGTATGTATTAGCCAAATCAACCCTAAGACATTATAAAAGAATAAGGTGGCTATTGAGAAAACAAGGACTGTAAATTACAGCACATTTCCCATTTTCTTGTAAATGGCTCCTCAAATGCAAATTTAAATATTTAAGAAAACAACTTTAAGAACTCAAGAAAGTATTTCTTTCTATTGCAGAAGTTTGAAAGCATTGTGGATATGGTTAACACCAATGCCTTTAATCTAAAAATAACAATAGATATACAGTGATGTATGTATATGATTTGAAACGGTATACAGACCTAGACTTTGATAAAGGATTAAAAGAATAAAAATTCTGTCCTTAAAAGCTTGTATTAAAAACTTGATGCATCAGGATAGTACGAATAGGATGTTAATGTTATTTTCAATTATCATTATGCACTGGATTTCACAATCCAATAGAAATTAGATGCATTGGCCCCTATTAGCAGAATAGGCTTCGCTGAATAGCATCGTACCACTGCTTCTTTATATTATTTTTATTGCAACATCATCTAAAGTTGGTAGTAATCAAATATAATTCAAAGCACTTCTGCAAAATGTGCAGAAAACAGCAGAAAACAAGAAATGCTTAGCTCGTAGGAGAGAGTTCAGATTACCAAATAAACATTCAATAATGAATTTTATAAAATGCCTTCATTGTAATAGGACTTTGTTGGGTTTAGATTTCATTTCTTCTTTGGTTTCTCATCAGTAAGTAGAAGGAAAGAAAAGCTCAAGTAGTTAATCCAGGGGTGTCAAACTCGTGGCTCATGGGCCGGATGTGTCACGCACTGGCCAAGCCCATCCCTGATTTAGCGAATGGGAAAAAGTTGTGATACGTCACGTGATGCCATGAGTTTGACACCCCTGAGTTAATTCAATGTTCACAAATAGGACATCTTGCTGCTGAATGCCAAAATTGGTTTTAAAAAACTATCAAAATTAATATTTTTCAGGCAATAAAAGAGGACTGTTGGGAGCCAGTTATAGAAAGGTATGAAGTAGGATGTAGTCAAGTCATAGGAACATTTAAGTCCTTCTGATTTATCTCATGAATTAAATATAGTGTTTAATTTTTAAAAAGGGTATTTCCTGAGTTGAAAGCCTAAATTTGGGCAGAAACTCATTCAGGTGTCAATCTTATGTCTATGTTAATTAGATACTATAGAACTTTACTATGTGAATAAAATTGCACTATCAATGTCCAGAAGACTTAATAATTTAGCTGTAATTCTTGTTAATATAAATGAAAACCAGATATAAATTAGTTGCATGTCTCAATCTGGCATACATAAAAATGTGATGAATTCAAGAAAGGAATTAACAAAAATTACACTGATGTAAAAAAAATTATTATGTAGTATGAGATATTTTTAGGAAAAATAACATAATTGCTATCACAACAGCAAAAATATCAAGAATGAAATGCCATCTTGCTATATTGGGAGATACAATCTAGAGCTAAATGTCACAAAAGTTAAAATTGAATACTCTACCATGGCACTTTGGACTTAAAGCTTGAATGCACCTATTATATTGCACCATAATTTAAACTACCGTGTTTCTCCAACAATACGGCCTCCCCCAATAGGAAGTCCCAGCATGCTTTATAGGCATAAAATCAAATTAAGCCCCTCCCCCCAATTTAAGGCCTATATTAAACATGCAAAGTGGAGGGGGGGCTGGCCGTTAGGAAGTACTTTTGTTGCATACCTGGATATGGTGCTGCCTGTGTTGACTTCGGCGTTGGTGGGGCACTTCGTATCAGGAGACCTTCCGCCGTTGCTTTTCCTTCTGCCCGTGCTGCCGTGGCATGTAAAGCAACACCGCGACGTTTGGCGCAGCCACGCGCGGCCAGTCAGGGCTCCTCCCTGCAACCGGAGCCCGGCGGAGACACTTGACTTCAGGCGCTCCTGTCGCTGCCTTCCCTTTGCCTTTGAAGGCAAAGCCAATTATTTTAAAAACGACGCCCTACTACCAGTACGACAAAGACTCCCCTGCCCAAGAGGGCAGCCCAAGCCCATGTGGGGAGGCGAATCTCCCAGGACCACAGCGCAGGATTGGCCCACCCCAGGAGAAGCCCCTGGGGCTTAAAGTCCCTCAAAGTCCCTCAAATCCCGAACTCGCAGGGGCCATTGGGAGAGGCTGCCCAAGGCAATGATAGCGACCACCCGTCTGCAGACAGGGAGGCGAGGCGATGGCAGCGCTGCTTCCCTGGCCGGCGGGTCTAGCGGAGTCACCCCCGAAAAGACGGCCTAGCTGCTTTTGGAGGGGTCAAATAAGGCCCGGCCTTATTTTGTGAGAAACACGGTATGGTTAATTTGGAGCTTAGTATTTGTATGAACAAGCTGTAATGTAATAAATGATGTTTAAATAATCTGTGTATAGATTGATCTTTGAACACAGTCTGTCTAGCCTAACTTTAAGGATACTTTAAGAATTGAACCACAAGAAGTAGCTAGTGCAACTTTTTGCTTCAACTTTTAACAAGGAATATTATACAAGTCAGGACAGCTGTATTTATTGAGTAACTGGAACAGCAGGAAAATCAATCTGATACTTTCAAGAACATGTTTCTCCACAATTCTTTCCAGTTTAAAAAAAGAATAATTGGGTTTTGTAATACAGCATGCTTTTCATTTCAGAGTAGATCAACTTACAAGAAGACTTTATGTAAACCTTCCCCCCCCCCCATTGGAAGATAGCCTTTTTTATACAACATAGAAGAAATCTTGGCAGTATTTCAATTCATGTGATATAATTGATAGAAAAAAAAACAACTAACCCCCCCCCACTTCTTTATGTCATAAGATTATGAATATGAAAAGATTTGTTATTTTTCGGGTGTTATAGTGTTAATTCTTTAAAAACTAATAGCCATAATTTTAATAACCCCAGCTTTCAAATATAATCCACATTTGTATAAAGATAAAATATATCCATACATAAATGCATCTGGTAAAAAAAATAGTGGTTAGATAATCGACAAGTCTTCTTAATAGTTGAAGAAACATGACAAATTGCTTCTTCTAACAATATTGTTGATGAACCACTTTCAGAAAAAATATTTAAGCATTCTTCTTAACTTTAAAAAGGCCAGTAAGATGTTCATGCCTTCCTATTTTTCTACAATGCGGCTTAAGAATTAAAAAAATTACCAGAGTTTTTGATAAACATACGCATTTAAAAATATATTACTTTTGTGGTGAAACCTTACTAGTTTTACACACACACGAATTCCTATGAATACCTAAAAATTTGTATTGCAAAATTAAAATTTAACAAGAAGTCAATTCAAGTTCTTTAATTTGCATATCAAGAGTAGTACTCAAGTACAATTTGACATTTTAAAATATAGTAATTTGGTATTATTAAGTACAAAATATATATGGCATCTACAGACTCCAACTGACTGCAGTCTGTGAAATAAATTGGTCCATTTTTGGTAGTCTTGTGCCAATTATTTAACAATGAACCAAGGGGAAAAATGAAACAAATTATGCTTGAACAAGAAGTCCTGCTCACAATTATGATGCTTTAAATCACATTCAGATTTAAACAGACTGATAAACAGACCTGTATGCTTTAAAAATTAAAACTGGCTTATTCATATAAGGAGTAGGATGAACAGCAAAATTCATTTGCTGATTTCTCCTTTAACACGTCAATCTTCAGTTATTTTGTCAGTCTAAATAAGAGAACTGTTAAAACAAGAACTGCATACATCAAAATGATCTACTGTTTCCCTTTTTTTAAAAAAAAAAACTACATCACATGATAACAATGAGTTATTTTGTCTACAGTACTGTCTGTACAGGCAAGGAAAGAATATTTTATATATTTTTTAAAAAGTACTGTTTCAAAAAATAAAGCCTGTTACACGCCTTTCTCAATTTGAAATAATTCCCTGAAGCAACTTATCTTAGTCAACCTTCAGATTGCGAGACATACTCCTCTTTGGGTTTGAGATCAACACGGCCACACTATAAGCAAAAGGATCTCAAAAAGCGTGCACTAGATGCAAGTAGGAGGGTCTGGTCTTGGCTAGCTTCCACGGGCATCTTCATTCCCTTGGCTGTCCTGTATTGCAGTTGTCGTAGTGGTAAAATGGTAATGCAAACGCTCATCCCGAAATTCAAAGTCATTGGTAATATGTTGGATGATGCCACCTTTCATCAGCCTCTCTCCATACACTACAGCTTCCCCGTGGTCCAAGGCAAGGCCAACTTTCAAAAGCCAGTTTACCAGATCACAGCCGAAGAAGACTCCAGTCACTGTCTTTGTGCCACACCTGTATGTCAAAGGAAGGATTCACCCACATGCTCTGTAAATCTCGTACCACCACTGCTTGTTGGATGAAGATGAGGGGAAAACAAGGAAAGACAGCATGATAGTTAGAAGGACGTTAAAAGAAGGCCTAATAGCCAAGTATACAATTAAAGCTGTTTTCCTTTTAGGCAGGCCTCAATCGCCTTTTTTATTAGCCAAAATGCATGCAAGCATCTAATGAAAGCACAGCATACTATATGGTTAGTGTAAAATTATTAACTGTTAATTCACTATTGATTATCTTAGAATCTGAAATTAATCTTTAGTTCACAGAATCTACCATTGGAACGATATATATGTAGTTCTTGACCTACAACCATTTGTTTAGCAACTGCTCAAAGTTAACAATAGCAAAAAAGTGACATGCAACCGGTTCAAAATTCAGGTGCTGGGCATGTATTTACAATGGTTGCCAAGTCCTGGGGTCATATGATTGCCATTTGTGGCTTTCCTGGCCAGCTTCTGATAAGCAATTTCAACCAGGGAAGCCAGATTTGCTTAATGGCTGAGTGACTCATTTAATTATAGTGATTTACTTCACAGCCATGGCAAAAAAGGATTCTAAAATTGGCCATGACTCCCTTAACAACCACTTTGCTTCACAATGGAAATTCTGTTCCCAACTGTGGTCATAAATCAAGGATTGACTGTACAGTAGTAAAAGAGTTAATGATAACATTTTAGATGATAACCATATCAAATTCTATTTCAGAAGGGAAAGTCCTAAGTAAACATGCGAAAGGCTGATACGCTGTTCAAGATCTGTAACATGCTTCAAAAATTATTTTGAAAACATATTCTGGGAAGGCGTGAGGGCCCAGGAGCCTTTCATTTTTTTTTTTTTTCAAATTTCAAGCACTTCTTCAGAGCAGTTTTTGGCTGAATAATTTCTGAAGTACATAATAGCTTTAGTAAATGCTGTTTTGCACAGCATTTGATTAAATACTTTTTTGTTTTGTTTTATATGCTCAAAAGTTTTTCTTTCATGGATAGTATAGCTTTCCATTTGCAATCTGAAAAGGAACACATTCACGGAGAATTAAATAAGTTTTTCTGCTCTGTAGGTTAAATTTGGTTCTCTTAATCCTAAAATGCTTATTAAGCAAACTAATACACAGAGGTCTTGAGACACAATATAATTGGTTAAGATTCATTTCAAACTCCAAGAAGTGTTTTTTTTTTCCTCAATTCATACCTGAAAACTGTATGCAACCTGGTGCAACCACCTCTAAAGCTAATGCTTAGTATCTCAGGCAGCATTTTGCTCTACTAT